CTCGCAGTCGCCGCCGCACTGGCTTTGCAAACCAAGCTGCGGGCAGGTGCGTGTGCTGATTGCGCGAGCAGTGGACTTGACAACTCAAGCTTTTCAACCGCGACTGCATCACATAGATTGATCAAAATCTTGCTCTACAGCCGCACAATGTGTGACCCACGCTGGCTAACATATGAACGCATATGATCTGCGCATGCTCCGCCGTGCACCTTCGCTCCGCTGGAGGCGGCTCCCGGCGGCAGCCAGGGGGACCACCTGGTGCCCACGGCGCCACCATGACAGCCGCACGGCGGGGTCCCCACGGTGGCGCGGCCAGTTGCCACTTCCGCCGCCCGGCGCGGACAGGTCAGCGAGACCTGTAGCCAGAGTCCGCCCACTTCTGCTCCTGCTTGCGACTCGGCAGAGGAAGCTCATGAAATGATGAATCACATATTCCCCCCAAAGTGCCGCGAGCTTGCCCTGCCTCCGGCCTGCGCCCGCGAGCGTCTCGGTGAGCGCGCGGACCCTCGCCACGCCGATTTCGGCGCGCCGCTGCTGCTGCTTGCTGCCGCTAGACAAGCATAGATCAGCTGGGCTCTTAGCGCTCGTGACGAAAACAATGCTGCAGCGAGCCACACATGAAACTGCTGGCAGGTGCGGAAGACAGAGATGCAATGAGGCCAACATGACAGACGGAAAACCCAACTGGGCGTAGAGGAGCCTTGCAAGCAGCCGTGGGGAGGTAGAAGAGAAGACAGCATAACGATGACCTTAACCGAGCCATACTGAAAACTCCGCACAGAGAGCTCAACGGCATGCGCGTGCAAGCGGGCATGCTGCTGCTGCTGCTGCTCCTCGCCCTTCCCATCTGGCGACGTGCCTCGAGGTGCCGAGGGCCTCTCGAGCACCTCCGCGGGGCATGCCTCGCGAGTGCTCTCCAGGGCTCCAGACAGCAGACTCGGACCCCCCCGGAGCCTCACGGGCGCTCCCGCGAGTGCTCTCGGGACCCCCCGCGTGATCTCCACAGGGGGTGCTGGGAGCGCGGCCGTGGGGCGAGCTCGGGGGCCTCTCGGGGCGTCCTGGAGACCACTAGGGGCTGGCTCAAAAGGACCTGAGCCGCGAGAGAACAACTTGGGCTGCTGCGGGACTGTGGAACTCGCTGCCTTTTCGGCCTCGAGGGCGTCCAGGACGGCCCGAGAGGGCCCCCACATCGCTCCAGGATGGCCCAAGGCCCTCAAGAGTGACCCAAGAGGCCCCCGAGAGGGCCCAGGAGAGGGAGCACGGCCTGCCATTTGGAGCCCTTGACCCCGAACAGGCCAAAGAGACCGCTAGAGCAGGTCCGCAAGAGGCCCCCCGAAGCTCCAAAGACGGCAGCGCGCGGATGCGCAGGGTGGCACCTGGAGGAGGAGGAGCCAGGGGAACAGGAGCGGCAGCGGGGAGAGAAAGAGAGCGAGATAGAGACGATGATGAGGGTAAGAAGAGGCTCATGATGATGAGGATCAACAGGGGACAGACGGGAATCATAATCCTCATGATGCCCTGCTCTGCTCCCATTCCCTCTCCCTCCGCAACTCTCCTCATGCCTGTCTATCTCCTCTATTTTCATTCCCCCTCCCTCCGTGACCTTGCCCATCCTTCTCTTTCCTCCTGCTCCTCCTCCTCCTCCTCCTCCTCCTGCTGCGCAAGAAGCGGCGGACGTCGACGATCACTGGGAGCACGACATCGAGGCTGTGGAAGACGACCAAGATGGCGGGTACGGCCGCGCCTGCTTCAAAAGCCGACATCCCCGCAGACCTGTCTCAAAGTGGGCTCCGCCCAAGATCTCGAGACGGAATCCGCGAGGGCCCCCGCTGCCAGGCCCGAGACCCTCGGAGACTTCGGAGCGCGACGGCGACGCCGCTGACGGCGACGACGGCGACGACGCCGACGCCGACGACGGCGGCGGCGAGGACGCCGGCGGCAACGCCGACATCGACGGCGGCGCCGGCAGCAGTTGGGGAGGCGACAGGAGGATGAGGACGGAAGAATTAGGTCGGGCCTGTCCCACTGCAGAGGAATTTTCGGACGAAGAATAAATCATAGTCAGAAAATGCTAGAACAATGCCCAACAAGATTCAAAACATCGCCCCCTATACTATTTGTTAGATATTCCTCCTGTGGAGGGACAGGCCCGACTGAACAGTTGGGGACGAGACATGAGGATGAGGACGCAAGCAGGAAGGAGGCCGCGCCCTCGCGCGTGCGGTGGGCCGCCTGTTGCAATCAGGTCCCCTGGAGGTTTACGAGAGGACAGAAAATCTACCCCCATAATAATCACCCCGGCACGCGAAGCCGTTTAGTAAACGCGCCCAAATATGGAATCGAGAAGGGCAAGGCTGTTCAAGAAACGCCCATTGCCGCTGTAGAAAACGCCAATTGTCCGGTCCGGGTGGTTTGTCCTCCCTTGATGTACTGACTGCATGGTTTCATATTTAGGACGTCTTCAGTCAGGAGGAAAAGAAACACACAGACACTATCAGTCCTCGATTCCCTAGAAAATGGGTGAAAATATGGGAAGTGGGGGGAAGACAGAAACCCAGAAAATATTGGAAAACATTGGGAATACTTTTATTTGTGTATCTATTTGTGTCCTGGGGCCCCTTCATTCAGCAGTGCATTTTGCGCATGCTCGAGCCGCACTTCTGAAGGAACCCCACATTTCCATGAAGCCAGGCCCTGGCCCTGGGCCTGGCCCTGGGCCTGGCGAACCTGGATGGGGGGAGGGAGGGAGATTGAAGGGGCCCTGGGACACACACAAATAAATGCACACAAATACAAAGCTTCCCCATATTTTCACATTTTTCTGGGTTTCTGTCTTCCCCCCCACTTCCTATATTTTCGCATATTTTCTGGGAATCGACGAATAATTGTGTCTGTGTGTTTTTTCCCCTCCTGGGAGATGAGATGAGATAAGACAACGGCGCCTAGAACGTCACGTTCAAGACTGAAGGGCTTGGCCCGCTGAACAGAACGTGCCGCACACTCTTGCTCGGGAGAGGAGGGGGGAGGGGGGAGGGAACGAGGAGGAGATGGGATCCTAAAATATAACGCTTCGCAGCAAAAATACAACATCGCGAAAAACACGGCCACAACCTTCACCCAACCATTCTAGGGCAGTGTTCGAGCCAGATCGATCTTTGAGCCAGACCCACGACGTCATTTTGCTTTCACAACGTGAGCCCCCAAACGACCCGACCCATTCCCTTTGAAGAAGGGAAACCGCCACAAACATAAACTTGTGGCGCTCCGCGCGGATTTCTTGGGTCTACGCCTGACACCGCTCCCTGGCGCGCGAAGCGCGCCAGGGGCGGCGCCGGAAGCGCTGCTGGGGGGGGCCCAGCGCGGATCCAAGAAATCCGCGCGGAGCGCCAAAAGTTTACGTTTATATGTGTTTCTTTCTTGTTCGAGTTTTGTTTTCACAACGTGGGTACCCAGAAGACTCGACCCATTCCCTGGGACCGGCTTTTCATCCTGAGACGCTTTTTGATGGCTCTGGGTCCCAGCGAGGGGCCTCAAAGGCCGAGAACTGCAGCAAATCCTCTGCCGTAAAAGGGAGGAAGAACTACAGGAAATCCTCCGCAACATAAGCTCAGCAACACTGCAACAAATCCTCTGCAACGCGAGGGGATCTGCAGGAGGAGGAGGAGGATGGGAGATGGAGGAGGGAGGAGGGAGGGGAGGAGGGAGGAGGGGAGGAGGAGGAGGAGGAGGGAGGGAGGAGGAGGAGGAGGAGGAGGAGGAGGAGGAGGAGGAGGAGGAGGACGAGGAGGAGGAGGAGGGGAGATGGAGGAGGATGGGAAATGGAGGATGGAGGAGGAGGATGGGCGATGGAGGAGGATGGGAGATGGAGGAGGGATGAGGATGGGAGCAGGGAGGAGGGAGGAGGAGGGAGGAGGGAGGGTGTGCCTGATCGCCAGCTCCAGGGTGGGCTGTCGCCACCCACCCTAGGCCCTCCCGACAGGCCCCCCCCCCACGCGGCGGCGGGTCCCGCGCCGGCCGACGCGCCTGGCCCTGGACGGGTCTGGTGCCGGGGCCGCAGATTTGGGATTCGGTTCGGTGTGTCGTCCTACAGGGGGAGTTTTGGAGGAAACACGACAGAAGACTTGAAGCATTCATCCAAAGAATAAAGATTACCCCAGTGCGACCCTACCGAGAAGTTGGAGCCCCTAGGAAAGCAGCATTAGTTGCTATGCTATGCTATCATATGCTATGCTATGATATGCTATGCTATGCTACGCTATGCTGCGCTATGCTGCGCTATGCTATGCTATGCCATGCCATGCTATGCTGCGCTATGATATGCTATGCTATGCTATGCTATGCTATGCTATGCTATGCTATGCTAAGCTGCGCTATGCCGCTATGCTATGCTATGTTATGATAATGCTATGCTATGCTATGTTAAGGTAAGCTAAGATGAGATAAGCACCGCTAAGCTAAAGGGTAACTGGGGGAACCGCGGGGCGGATCCTGGGGGAACCGCCCGGGGCGTTTCCCACTGCCCAGCCCCTTTAAGACACAGGGTAGGAACCCTTCTAGGCAGAGCCTAGGTAGGGAACAATGCAGCAACAAAGCGTCCCCATACGATGTGTTGGACTTTTTTTCTAGATGTTCCTCCTGTAGAGGGGCAGGCCCGATTTAGATTCAGGAGGGGGATGGCTGCGGCGGACGTCCTGGCATCGCTCGGACGTCCATTCCCTGTGTTTTTTTTTCGGTTTCGTGCGTGGTTTCTTCGCCAAATGATCTAGGATTCTCCTCGATGGTCCTCGCCAAAGGAAAAGAGCACACGCCCGAGCGATGCCAAGACGTGAGGCCAGCGGGCGGCGGCGGCGGAGCCCCGCCTGCTCCCGGACGCTCTGCGCGCGGGACGCCGCGGCGGACGCGGGCGGCGGGGTGGACGCCTGCCCAGATCCTGCTCGTCTGGCGGCCAGGGCACCCCCATGCGAGCGGGGGGGGTGCACGGCTTCCCCCGGGGCCGTGGGCGACCCGAGGAGGAGGAGGAGGAGGAGGAGGAGGAGGAGGAGGAGGAGGAGAAGGAGGAGGAGATGGAGGAGGAGGGAGGAGGAGGGAGGAGGGAGGAGGGAGGAGGGAGGAGGGAGGAGGGAAGAGGAGGAGGTGGAGGAGGAGGGAGGAGGGAGGAGGAGTGGGAGGAGGGTGGAGCAGGAGGGAGGAGGAGGACTAGTAGGAGAAGGAAGAGAAGGACGAGGACGAGGAGAAGGACGGGTGGCCTAAGCCCTTCGGAGAAACCCTCCAGGGGGGGGGGAATTGCTGCTTATTCGGTGGTTGCCAAAGGGGTCCCTGGCCCAAGGTGTCCCCAGCTTCAAGGTCCCCTTTGGAGCCCCATGGGGCCCTTCCGGGCCTCGTAAGGTGCGCCGTGGAGGCCGCGGGGGCCTGCTCGAGCCAGGAGCATCACTCGGGCAGCATCCGGCCGCTTTGTGCTTCAGAGGGGGCGCGGAGCGCCAAGGGCGCCGCCAAGGAACTCCGGGGCCGATCCAGGAGATCCGCGCGGAGCTCCGAGAGTCGATGTTTGTTCTGTGTCTCCTCCGGACTCGACGAAAAAAAACGAACGAGTCTGCCCTTGCCGCGAGACGAGCCCACAAGGGCGAGAAGCGTGCCAAACGCGCTGGCATCCAGGAAGGCTGGGCTGCTACTCAGATGTGAAGAGTGTCGATACGTATTAGCGCCACCTGTATTTGACATACTCGTCTTCTGAAACCTGCCATGTCTCACATTGTTTGTCCATCTCGCACCCCGGTTCCCAACCTCTCGAACGCGACGAGGCGCGCGGAACGCTCCTCCACACGAGCGGGGGACGGATGGGCGATGGGTCTCCCTTCGCGCACCGCTATGGCAGGAGCTCGCGGGGGCGGTGATCCACAAAGGGCGGGCCGAGGGGCACGAGCTCCGAGGAAAGCACCCGTCGGGAGTTGCCAGAAGTGCCCCTGGCCCGGGGTGCCCCCCAGAACTTCCAAGGAGGCCCCCCGCGGTGCACGGCTTCCCCCGGGGCCGTGGGCGACCCGATGAGGAGGAGGAGGAGGAGAGGGAGGAGGAGAAGGAGGAGAGGAGGAGGAAGGAGGAGGAGGAGGAGGAGGAGGGATGGAGAGGGCGGGGGAGGAGGAGATGGCGGAGGAGGAGGAGAGGCGGAGGAAGGAGGAGGAGGAGGAGGAGGGAGGAGGAGGAGGAGGAGGAGGAGGAGGAGGAGGGGAGGAGGGAGGAGGGAGGAGGGAGGGAGGAGGAGGGAGGAGGAGGGAGGAGGAGGAGAGGAGGAGGAGGAGGAGGAGGAGGAGGAGGAGAGGAGGAGGAGGAGGAGGAGGAGGAGGAGGAGGAGGGAGGAGGAGGAGGAGGAGGAGGAGGAGGAGGAGGAGGAGGAGGAGGAGGAGGAGGAGGAGGAGGGGTCGCCTAAGCCCTTCGGGGGAACCCTCCACCCCACGGCCTCCAGGAGAACCCTTCACGAGGCCCAGAGGGCCCCAAGGCACCCAAGATGTAGCGACACGCTTGGGACACCCTGGGCGAGGGACGCCGTGAGCAACCCCCGAAGCAATTTTCCCCCACCGCCACTGCCATCCTCGGCCGGGGCCATGTGCATTGATCTCCAGGTCGGGGCTTGCAGGGCGGCGGGGGAGTTTGAGCTGACAAACCCAAAATCGGTCATGAAAGGGGATCGGGGCGACTTTTCGCACAGCATCTGTCCCCAGACCCCTCCTGGAGTCGAGCCTGAATCGCGTTTCGAGGCGCCTCCAGCAGTGGCGACGAGGGGGGCCCTTTCTCCCCCCCTCTCTGCTGGCCGGAGCCAGATGCTGGACCACGTGGGCCTCCCGGCCAGCTGCAAGCCAAGGGTGTATACGGTGGTGTGCAGCTGCCTCCTGCAGATGCGGCAAAGGCCAGCACGGGCAGGTCGGAGTGACAACTCCAGAGATACGACGTCCTGATGTTTCAGTACGCGGCCCCCGGAAATTCGGACCCTTTCTCTGGGGCCAGTCCCACCAGCCCTTTGGGCGTGAGTGGTTTAGCGAGCTCTCTCTGTTCTCAACCCCCCTTCTTCCCCTTCGGGGAGGGGTTTACCCCTCCCCCTACCCCCTCCCCCTGGGCCTGGAGAGGGCGGGCCGAGCGTCGTCAGGGGGGTCTTTTTTGACTCCTTGGAGGGCTAAAAAACGACGACCCTCACGAGGATTCTGGCCCCGACGGGGGGGCCCAGTTTGGCCCCTCTGCTCTTCTTTCAAGCCAAAAACATTGATTTTACGACGGTTTCGGCCCCATTTTGGCGTTCTGAGGGGGCCGCGCTCATCTTCCTTCATAGCAAAATCATTGCTTTTACGAAGGTTTTGGGCTCATTTTGTTCTTCTCAGGGGGCAGCTCTCATTGGCGCTTCTGAGGAGGTCGCAAGAGGCCCCAAGATGGCCCCAAGAGGCCCCCAGGAGGCTCCCAAGAGGCCTCCAAGAGGCCCCCAAGAGGCCCCCAAGAGGCCCCAAGAGGCCCCCAAGAGGCCCCCAAGAGGCCCCCAAGAGGCCCCAAGAGGCCCCAAGAGGCCCCCTCCCAAGAGCCCCCAAGAGGCCCCCAAGAGCCCCAAGAGGCTCCAAGAGGCCCCCAAGAGGCCCACGAGGAGCCCGAACGACTCACACCAGGACGAGGGGCCCGAACGACTCACACCACGAAGAGCCCGAACGACTCACACCACAAGGAGGGGCCCGAACGACTCACACCAGGACGAGGCGCCCGAACGACTCACACCACGAGGAGCCCGAACGACTCACACCACGACGCGGGCCCCGAACGACTCACACCACGAGGAGCCCGAACGAGTCACACCAGGAGGAGGGGCCCGAACGACTCACACCAGGATGAGGGGCCCGAACAACTCACACCACGAGAAGCCCGAACGACTCACACCAGGACGAAGAGCCCGAACGACTCACACCACGAAGAGCCCGAACGACTCACACCAGGAAGAAGGGCCCGAACGACTCACACCAGGACGAGAAACCCCAAACGACTCAAATCACGAGGAGCGCTTTCTCTGCCTCCTCCTCCGCCTCGTCCTTCTCCCGCTCCCCCCACAAGGAGGATGTGCAAGGAGGCGGGAGGAAGGAGGAACAGGGGAGATATGTGGGGCCAAGCGGACACACGCCTGAAAAACACGACTGTCGGCATGCTTCGCAAGAGTTGCTGCTGTGAGATGGGCTGGTGGGGATACGCGAAGCGTAAAGAATTTTCCTTCCTGCATGGTGTTTGACGGTCCTGGGGCCCAGTGAGGGCCCTGAGAGGCCGAAACCGGCCAAACACTCCCGCTGTTTCCTTTCACTGCGCGAGCATGTCTGGGACGCCACCAAACCGAACAGCGAGACAACGCGCGCAAATGCCAGATGCGCCAGATGCGGCCAGGAGCTGCCAAGTATCCCGATCGGCGGCTGACGCTTGGATGCCGGCGCCCAGGGGGGAGGGAAGGGCGAGGTGGTAGGAGGAGGTGGCAGATAAGGGGGACGGGGGGGATGGGGGGATGGGGAGGGGCAGGGTGATGAAGCGAGGGGGTGGTCCTTCCTGCTTTTTCACCCCTCCTTATCATCGCCATCTTCCCATTTTTCCCCCGCTCTCCTCAACGGAGTCCAAGTCCAGTAACGGAGGACATATGGCCAATGGCAGCGCCGATAGGGGGCGCTGCTTCCTCCAAGGCGGAGGCCTCAGTCCAGGAACGCCCGAACCGTTGACATGCAATTGCGAGAACTGGCACGTCGTGGCCTCGATGATCAGTCGGTCGGAAGAAGTGGGTAGAACCATTCAGTGTGACGGCGATGGAGGCAGAAGGCCGCCTCGTCGTCCCCCTCACCGTCGTCATCTTGGAAGAAGGCCCCCAATGCTCCTGCAACCCCGACCCCGCTCGGCCTGCGAGCCCCTCCCAGGACCCATCCTGGACCCGTGACTCGAGCGGCGTCCGGCAATGGCGACGAGAACCTCCGGAGACGCCGCCAGCAGACTCGACGCGGCCGCCGCCGTCGTCGAAGAAGCCAGCGGCGGAGCCGGACAGTCTCCTGACTCCCAGGGAATGAGGAGAAGGAGGAGGAGGAGGAGAGCAGGAATTAGGGGATCAGGGTGGTACGGTGGCCTCCCCGTCCTGCTCCCCCCCTCTGGATAAAGTCCCACGGGGGCGTCCGGGGGACCCCACTCACGCGTCGGTCAGGTCCCGCGCTCGGGGGCCAGCGCGCGCCCGCGCGTGGGTGGACTGGGAACTGCAGAAGCCGCTGCGAGAGAGAAGAGCGGGAGGGAAGATCGGGATCGGGCTGTGTCGAGTTCGGGCGTCTGCTCTAAGCCATCGTGAAGGCTTGAAACCGCGCCACGCGGGAACTGAGAGCGGCGGAGCTCGATTTCGCGAAGGAGGTGCTTGGCGACATCCGAACCCTACCGCACCAGCCGTCGATTCTCCTGAATCCATGGGAGACGGGGGCAGGGCTCGGATCTCGCCACGTGTTAGACGAATTCCGAAACCTACCTCCGCGGGCCATCGAGTTGCCTGATCCGTTGATCGGCAAGTGTATGGTTCGGAGGGTAGGAAGCAGGAGGAACGATGACGAAGAAGACCAATGCAACCCCAAACCGCATTGACGATGTTGCAATACACCCGCCTTCCGAAATTCCCTCTTCACAGACGCTACACGACTTGACGTATGTGCGGGAAGTGTCCCATTGGAAGACAACGGTCAGAGAATCCGAAATCGCGCCAACACGCAATTCATCGGACTTCAATGCCACGAATAACGTGACTGCCACGTCCTGACAATCATAAGCTGTATACAAAAACGCCATTCCAGGGACTTCAACATCGCGGATCAGCGTGACTGTTGCGTCCTGACTCGGGCAACCCTGAATCATGCCAGAACTAGTGTCTGGGACTTCTACCCTGCGAAACACTTGACATGTTAAACGATGTTCAAACGAATGTGTGCGGCGCTACGGCAAGGGCCACATTTTGAAAAGGAACCAACCTCAATCCTAGAAAATGTTGCAAACTTCAAAACCAACGTGCGCAGCGCTGAGGCGAAAGCCACAGTATGAAAACAACCCACCATCAATCCTTGAAGCTGTTGCACATCTCAGGTTTCACTATATCATATCGCGAAGACGACTCAAGCGAAACGCCTGGCCCACCCTACCGACACGTGTGGAGATGCGACAGGGAGGAGCTACGTATTCCGAAGCGCAAGGGAAGGAAACGCAGGAGGCAGGAGGAAGGGGGAAGGGAAGGGAGGAGGGAGGGGGGGGGGGAAGGGATGGAAGAAGGAACATGGGAGGGAGGGAGAAGGAGGGGGGAAGAAAGATTGAGAAATGGGGGGGGATACGAGGGAGGCATAAGGAAAAAGGACGGCGGAATGGATGGACAAGGAAGAGGGAAGAAGAAGAAGAAGAAAGAACGACCCCCCCGTGACAATACGGAACTGCCGCCCTCCTCCCCGTTTGGACGCCCGAAATGGGTACGGAAAGAATCGGTAAGATACCCAGAAAAATGTTGTCCAAAACCCGCAGCCACCGCTGTTGAGCAGGCTGCCCTTGTCTCAAATGGTCAACGTCAGCGGCGACATCGAGAACGAGTCCTGTTCAAAACGAGCAACACATGCTGTTGGTCTCTGTGCCATTTCTTGTCCGTGCCCGCTTCGACCGTCCAGAACTGAGGGCCGTGCCAAGAGCCCTCTGGGGGGGAGGAGGAGCGACCCTTCGTGCCCGCGCCAGGACTGCCGCCCCTCCACCCCCAGATCGGGCGCGCGCTGACGTGGATCAGTGATCTCTTGGATCTGGTGCGTGGGCGCCAGATCCATAGATCGGGTGAGGTACCCCCGACACAGGAAGCCAGTGCCGCCCCATTCGGCGACAGCGCGAGCCTCGCCATCGCTCGGACGTCCATTCCCCGTGCCCCCTGTTGGCCTGGCGGCGAGCCCAGGAGAGAAGCGAGAAGGAGCGGGCCTCCTCAGCAGGCTCGGAAGCCACCCCCCCGGCCTTCTGGGAAGCTGTCTGAGCCAGGCACGGGCAGCCCCTCGGCAGGCCCGGGGCCCTCGGAGACGCCCCGCCGCCTCCCGAGGAGGCCTCCTCCCCCTCGCCACCGCCTCCCCCGCCCTCGCCGCCGCCTGCAGCGTCCTCTCCACCAGAGGGCGGGAGCCCCCCTTGGGGGGCGGAAAGATACGGATACGTGTTGTCCCCAGACCTCTCTTGGGGTGCGTTCTGACCAGAATTTCGTGGCGAATCCAGCGGTGACAACGAGGATTCCCCAGGAGGACCAGGAAAGGCCGAAAACGAAGGGGGACAACACGTATCCATATCCTTTTTGTCCCCCGACCGCCCCACCCCCCGGGGCCGTGGTCGAGCTGCCGCAGGACAGCGGGCCCCCCTTGCGCGCCTCCTCCTGCCCCGCCGCCAGCTCCTCGCGGGCACGGCGGCCGCCCGCGCCGCGGGGCCACGCCGCGGTCGGCCCCGCCCGCCGGCCGCCGTGCACCGCCGTGCGCCGCCGCCGCCGCGGGTCGCCCGCGTCCGCCGGCATCGTCGTCGCCGTGGACGGTCGTCGGTGGTCCGCCGTCGGTCGCGCCTCGCCGACCGCCGCCGCCGCCGCCGCCGCCGCCGTCGTCGGTCGTCGGTCGCGGGGGGGGGGTCCGCGCCGGGAGCGCAGAGGAAGCAGCTGCGCCGACGGAAGCTGCTGGCGGTCCGCGCGGACACCCGGGACCTCCTGCTCACGCCGCTGCGTCTTCTTCGGGGGGCAGGCCCACCGTACCTGGTTATCCTCCTCCTCCTACTCCTCCTCCTCGTCCTCCCTCCTCGCCTTCTTCCCCCCATCCCCCGTCCCCATCCTCCCTCCTCCCTCTCCCGCTCCTTCTGCCTGGGCCGACGTTGCGAAACACATGATGCAGCATCGAAGAAGCATCACGACCAGAGCCCTAGACCTCATCTTTCTGCGGCATTTCTCGATATGGGTCGACATGTGATTGACACGGGGCCCGAGACCTGGTGAAAACGCCCGGTGGCAAACGATTTTACACATTGGGCGACTATAAGAAGACTGCTTAACTCCAAATGAGCACATGAACATATCTGCAATCCTCTTGAACACTTCGCCAAAGAACACCTTACCGTAATCAATTCCCGACCATTCACACAACAAGTATTGCGCTCCGAATCGGAAACGGGCAATTGCGCAGTTGGGAACCGTCCAAAGCACCGCTTGGCCTCGCCTGCCTACCGCCCTCGCTGGTTTTCCCATGAGCCAACGAAAATGGGGACAGTTGCGCAATTGGCAGCTCCCCAAGGAGCCGCGAGGTCTCGCCTGCCTACCTCTTCCGCGGGACCTCCAAGGAGCTCCCGAAAGTGGCGGCAGTTGCACAGTTGGCAGCCTCCCAGGGAGCCACTTGGTCTCGCCTGCCTACCGCCTCCGCTGGACCTCCGAGAAACCAATGAAAATTGCGACACTTACGCAAATGGCAGCGCCCCCAGGGAGCCGCGAGGTCAGATGTGCGAGCATGCCTCTACGGTCAGGTAGGGGCAGATAGCGTGCATCTTCTCCCCGGTGGGTCCACTTTGAGGAAGCACGCTAACCACGGAGGCTCCCCTGGCCCCGTCTACCTAGATCTTGAACTCAATTAGCATCGGTTAGAAGGCACTGACACACATGCTTTCCGCGTGGACTCCCAACAAGTGTCCAGGCACGCTAACAGCTTTGTGGCGCGGCGATGGGGACACGGCAGAAGGGAGAAGAGGTGAGAAGGATGAGTAGGACTAGGCAGAGTAGGAAGCAGAGGTAAGGGCATGAGTAGGATTAGTAGGCCGAGCAGGAAAGGCAGGAGGGGTAGCAGGACTAGAAGGAGAAGTAGAAGTAGGAATCGGAGTAGGAGCAGGAGGAGTAGCAGGAATAGGAGGATAATAAGTAGGAGGATGAAGATTAGAGACACCATCCCTAAGACGAAGTCAGAACAGGGAACAAAAATCGGACACGGATGATTCCGGGATCTCTGATATTCAGCGGTTTTGAAAGAAACAATTGGGCGCCGCGGCCGTCTCAGAGGGCCCCGGAAAGCTCTGAGAGGACTCCGGAGCGCCTTGAGACGATCGATCGTCGTCACTGCCGAACCCCTACCCCCTCCCAGACCCCCGAAGTCATTATGTTCGATAACCCTCAAGAAGTCTCAACCCATTCCCCTGGATCCTGAGTCGTTGCTTGACGGCGGACAGGCAGACAGAACGACCCGCACTCAGACCCCTGAGGGCGGTCCTCCAAAGAGGGCAGGTGCATGGGACACGCGGTCCTCCGCATTGGGAGAGACTGAGTTGTTACAGCATTAGCAGACGTGGGAAAAACGCCACAGGGCCCGCCGAGGCCTAGTACGGGGCCCCGGGGGCCAAAAATTAGGCGAAATGCCTCGCGTCGTGATTTTTGTGATGGCTCGCGGGGATTCGGGCTCCCCTCCTGACACCTCCACATGCACACAGGCAGTCGGCCTTGGAGTACCATGTGGGACCTGCTCCAGAACAGGTTGGCCGCGCGCAGAAGGGGGCAGGGGGAGGGGGAAGCGCGTATATTTGGGCGCCCGAGTTATCCGGGGTAACTCGGGTCCGGGGTAACTCGGGTTTGGATTCCCGAAAAAGGAACCCGAGTTATCCCTGACCCGAGTTACCCCTGATGATTCGGGGCTCTGGACGCCCGAGTTATCCGGGGTAACTCGGGTCCGGGGTAACTCGGGTTTGGATTCCCGAAAAACGAACCCGAGTTATCCCTGACCCGAGTTACCCCTGATGATTCGGGGCTCTGATATATGGCTCTACTCTTTCTCCGACCTTGTACCGCGCCGGCAGCAACGGCCGTGCTGCCTATATCGACGTATCCACTCCGCATATGTCGATGTGCCTATATACGTAACGACGCGCAATGTGCCCATAGGCGCTTGTGGCTAGAAAGGGAGAGCGTTCTCTGGCATAGGCTCCAAACATTGGCTTTCTAAAGGGTGCTAGACTGTGCCCTCCAACCTCGGCCCGGTCTCCAAGATCTGCTCAAGCGGTGAGCGGCCACTTCCCCATGACTTGCTTTTCATCCCGAGTCGTCGTTTGACGGCCCCCAAGGCCTGGTCTCCAGGAAGCCGAGTCGCTGTTTAACGGCTCCGAGGCGCAGTAAGGACCCTGAGAGGCCGAAAACTATGTTAAACAAAACCCTTCGTTGTCTACCTAGAGGCCTCCTAGATGGGGTCCGAGTAGATGGGATCGAAGGACCGCGCCGAATCGCCAATGCATCGCCGATGTATCGAGGATGCATCGGCGATGCATCGGTGACGTCGGCGATGCATCGGCGAGGTCGGCGTGGAGAAAAGTGGGCCCCACATCGAGCCGCATCGGCGATGCATCGGCGATGCGGCACGATCCACCGACCCCATGGCCCCACATCGAGCCGCTTCGGCGATGCATCGGCGATGCGGCACGATCCACCGACCCCATCTACTCCGACCCCACCTAGGAGGCCTAGACTGACTACATTTTCTCGGGCTGGGCGAAAGGATAGCAAAGGGGGTGTTTGAGAATCAGCTCACGTAGCTGATTTTCCTGGCGCCTCCCGGCGCCGGAGGCGGCCATGTATCGAGGAATGGTGCCTGTTTTTCTTTGGATTCGGGCAAGTTTACTTGCATGGACGGGGGGGGGGACTGAGTCTGAAGCAAGCCGAAAACAATTCGACGTGCGGAAATCACGCAAGTCGAAAGGCACTTGCACGCTCGTGTTCGATTGAAGAGGGGCGAGGGGGGGGGGGGGGGGCGAACGCCATGCAAGCAGTAAGCTTGCCTGGATCTAAAGAAAAACAGGCTCATGGGCCCCTCGGCGGGGCCGAAACCGGCTGCATGCAGCAGATGTTCCGCACCCCCCCCTCTCTTCCCTCTATCCCCCTCTTTTCGTCCCCCTCTATCCCCCTCTATCCCTCTATCCCCCTCTATCCCCCTCTTATCCCTCTATCCCTCTATCCCTCTATCCCCCTCTATCCCTCTATCCCTCTATCCCCCTCTATCCCCCTCTATCCCCCTCTATCCCCCTCTATCCCTCTATGCCTCTATCCCTCTATCCCCCTCTATCCCCCTCTCTTCCCTCTATCCCCCTCTCTTCCCTCTATCCCCCCTCGTTTTCGTCCGGCCCGATGTGCTTTTCTCGAGCAGCCGCACCAGCCATAGGGGAGGCCGCCGGCCCGGTCTCCAGGATCTGCTCCAGCGCGGAGCGGCCCTGCTCCACCTTGGCGAGCCCCGCGTCCTTCGGGGATGGACAGACCCCCCTTTAGAGCCTGTTTTTCTTTGGATTCGGGCAAGTTTACTTGCATGGACGGGGGGGGGGGGGGCTGAGTCTGAGGCACGCCGAAAACGATTCGACGTGCGGAGATCACGCAAGTTGCACTTGTTCCGTGGATCTAAAGAAAAAACAGGCTCTTAGTAAAACCCTCTCGAGAACCGAAAACGGACCCCTCCTCCTCCTCCTCCTCCTCCTCCTCCTCCTCCTCCTCCTCCTCCTCCTCCCCCCCGAGTCCTGGCCCACGGCCTCGCGGGGGCGCCCCTCGCGGCCCAGGCTGGACTCGGGCAGGAAGACCTCGCGCGGCGGGCCCCGGGGCCGCCCCGCGGGCCGCCGCTCCGCCCGCTGGCCGCCGAGCGCCGCCCGGCCCTGCGAGCCCAGCTCCGGGGAGCGCGCTCGTCCTCCGCCCCCCTCGCTCCCTCGTCCTCCTCCGCGTCCTCCTCCTCCTCCTCGTCCTCCTCCTCCTCCTCCTCGCTCCCTCCTCCTCCTCCTCCTGGTCCTCCTCCTCCTCCTCCTCCTCCCCCTCCTCCTCGCCCTCCTCCTCCGTCTCCTCCCTCCCCCTCCCCCTCGTCCCCTCCCCCTCCTCCTCCTGCGCCTTCGGGGCGGGGGGGCCGTCGTCGCCACGCCCGGGCGCAGCTCGGAGCACCGGTGCGGCCGCGCCCCGGGAGGGCTCGGGGAGCCGATGCCGTGATCTCCTGAGATCTCCCCCCGCGGTCTGGCCCTGCAAGGTGTCACGCCTGGCGTGTTTGCTGGGTCTCGGGCCCCAGGGCCATCACGGGCCGATCCGGCGGGGAGGATGCCGCAGGAAGGCTGCGCCCGTCGGCCGCCGTGCGCCGTCCGAGCCTTCTCCCTCCTCCTCTGACGCCTGACGCCCTCGGGTCGGGGAAAAATCACGACACACGTATTTTGGTTACTTTCGGTCTGAGAGCCATCGCTGGGCCCAAGGCCCCCGCCAAAAACGACTCAGCAGTACCGAGGACTGGGTCGAGACCTCCAGGGGTCAGGAACTAGAACGGCAGGGAGAGGAGGCTGAGAAGGGGGAGCAGGATAATGATGCTGATGATGATGATGATGATGATGATGATGATGATGATGATGATGATGACGATGATGATGATGATGATGATGATGATGATGATGATGATGATACTGCTGATGACAACGACGACGAGGATGAGGAGAGAATGAAAGATGGAATGGCGAAGGGGGAACAGGAGGACGATGATGCAGAGGCAAGGGATGAGCAAGAGGTGAGAATGATGAGGAAAAAACATGACGGGGACGAGTGAGAGCAGCAGGACCTGGCACGAGGAGGAAGAGACGGGGGAAGGGAGAGGGACGGTGAGAAGGACGGCAACATGACCAGCAGCAGCGGGGGGCGCGCGCGCGAACCGAGAGGCTGTGCTTAAACCCGTAGAACTCGAAGAACCTGGCGGCCAGCCGCAAAGCTGGCAGCGATGTGTTCCTCCTCCCCCTCTTCCTCCTCATCCCTCCTCCTCCTCCTGACACACATACGCAAACACACACACAAACAAACAAACACACACACACACAAACGCCAACACACACACACACACACACACACACACACACACACACACACACGCACGCACGCGCGCACGCGCGCACGCACGCTCGCACACGCACCCACACACACACATACACATACACACACGCACGCACAGGCAGACAGTCAGTCAGACACACACACACACACACACACAAAACACACACACACACGAAAACAATTAAATTCGGTGAGCGGTGCCGACCAACAAACAAAACAGAGAACAAGTCCAAGCCAGGGGAGGATGAGACACAATGACAGTAACGATGGCGAAACGGAGAGGCTCCTCCTCCTCCTCCTTCTCCTCCTCCTCCTCCTCCTCCTCATCCTCATCCCCCTCCTCCTCCTCCTCTTCCCCCTCCCCGTTCCCCTCCTTCTCCTCCTCCTCCTCCTCCTCCTCCTTCTCCGTTTTCACCTCCTCCTCCTCCTCCTCCTCCTCCCCCTCCTCCTCCTCCTCGTTGTAAATGTAAGGCCCGCGGCTTCAACGAAGCAGCCACCTTCCAAGAAGCCTTCCCCCCTCCCCCTACCCCCCTCTGCGCGCCGCCAGTTTCTCTCCTCGCCCGTTGTCGCCCTCTGGTTCCAGGTCACTCCAGCTTCTGGTGCCAGGGGATCTCGATCAAGCGGCAACAAGACAGAATTCGAGACGTGAGAAATGGCACAGATCAAACAAATAATCAATCGAAATTGATGCGAAGAAGTTTAAATTTGCCTCCAAAAGGCTTCTTGCGAGACACTCAGTGTTTGTTTTATTTGAAGCGCTCGCGGCGTTCGGCGGCACCTTTCACTCCTCGCCCGTCGTCGCCTCCTGGCTCCGGGCCACTCCAGCTCCCAGGGGCCGCCCGGGACGATCCGGGCGAGGCGAGGCGCAGCCGCTGGAAGGCACCCCGGGGCAAGAAAGCCGCCGAGAACCGACGAGGCCATCCGACAGTCTCAAACCTCGAGCCGTGTGTTCCCCCCGCCGTCCTGGCCTACTGATTAGGGAGCCCACAAAGGACGTACGCGCCCAGCTATGTACATGAACACGGGCCCTCAATCCGAGAGACTGGCCGCGTGATACGAACATTCGGGCAATGCGTACTTTCCAAACAAGCCTGGATTCATGTACGTGTACGTCCTTCTTTCGCTCCTGACTGATGCTCGAGGGGGGGGGGGCGGGAACTCTCGCACCAGCTCCGCCATCAGTCGCCCCTCCGGCATCCTCAGCAGCTTCGCTGCCGCCGCGGCGGTGGCCTGCTCCTGTCGCACGGGCGGCGACGGCGATCGGCGGCGGCGGCGGTGCTGGGCGGCGAGGACGAGGACGAGAAGGAAGGCTGGAGGACGGGGGCGGGAGACGAGGAGGGGGGCGGGAAAGGAGGAGGGAATGGCAGGGACAGGAGCAGCAACCCCAGGGAGCCGAGGGCTCCATCCCCGGACATCGTGAGCACGACGTGGACCCCCCGAGGTCTCGGCCCATTCCCTGGGACTGGCGCTTCACACCGAGTCGCTTCTCTGGCGACCCCAGGGGCCCGGTAAGGGCCCAAGCCGAAAACTGCCAAAGGCCTCACGTCGCGATCCCTTCACGACGCAACAAAGCACGACCTGCGCCCCAAATCCCATCGTTCTGAGCTATGTTCTGGAGTCCCGAAACGGTGCGGTGACAGACCGTACGGTAACCTCGAAATCTCCCAAGACCTCAGAAAACGGTCCGTCAACGCACGGTTTCGGGACCTGGGATGCCCCAATCGCCCGAGACGTCCTCGGAGAACGACCCCCACAAACCGTGCGGTGACTTCGATTCTCCACCGACTCACCACACGATGTGGCCACCACCCCGTTTGGGGGCCCCCGATGTTTTCCGGATCGCATCGATCTGCCATGACCCTCGGGCCCGAAGCCGGGGTAAAACGTTGGGTGTGGGAGCATTGCAACGCCCGGGTCTCGAGGGAGGGAGTCGGGGAGGGCGCAGACACCTGGAGCCTTGCGAGGTCCATACATCGGGCATCGACGATATCGCCCAGCTTGTCGTCCCGAGTCGATGTGTTGACGGTTTTGGGGCCCATGGCCCACCGAGGAAGAAAACCCTCAGAAATGGGCCGCTCCTTCTTGTCTGGCAGCCTCGGATCTCTGGGGGGGCGATGGTGCTCAGACCCGTGGGGGGCACCGACGTTCCCGCAAAACTCGCGCCGCCGCAGGCTCACCCCGACCGTCCCTGTGTTCAACTCCTGCTCCTGCTCCCCACCGTCCTCGTTCCCTCCTCCTCGTGCTGGCCCCCCTCCTCCTCCTCCTACCCTTTTCTTGTTCCTCATGAGCACCCCCCCCGTGTCGCACCCAGAGGCCAATCGGACGGGCGGGCCGGGCGTTTCGCGTGAGACTTCCGTAGCACTAAAAAGCCTCTTCAGAGCTGTCACCAGTTGCGCAACTGGAGGGCGCGTCGCTTCCAAAATGCGGTTCTCCCCCTCAACGCCACGCACATTCGTTTCAAAGTATTACAACACCTTCACGAGTAGAAAGCGGATCGTTTGCAAAATTGACAACGGATTTAAGCACATATGTTTCAACATGTGGCTCTCGCTTTAGCACCGCGCGCATTCGTTTCAAACATTTGCAATGGTTACACGGATTGACGGCGGTTCCTACTTCAAAATGTGGTTATCGCCGTAGCGCCACGCGCATTCGTTTTGAACGAGCAAGAGCTTCGCGGTCTGAGGGTGGTTATTGTTGAAAACGTGGTTCTCGCCTCAGCGCCGAACGCAGTTTTCAAACACTTGCAAACGTTTCAATGGTTGCCATGGCTAATCGTTTTAAAAATTGTGTTGGATCAGTTCGGGGCGATCAGGGCGCAACAATTACGTTGGCTCCAAACCGTCAAAACGGACGCATCAGTCGGGCGGCCTGCATCCGATCCACATGGACGCGGAGGGATCCGAACGAGGGCCACTCGCTCGACCCATCAGAGGAGGAGGGATGCTGCATCTCTACGTCATGTGTTCCCGTGCCACGCGCATGCGGGACATGCTGATCCTGCGGCCACCCCCGCAGAAGTTCCTGGAGAGCGGGCCGCCGGCGTCCACGCGGAAGGCGCCCAGGGAATGCAGCAAGAGAGCGGTGAGCTCCAGGGCAGAGGCGGAGCAACTCGCGGCAGAGTTGGGTTTCGTAGCGCCTCCCGCCTGAGCGCGGCCGCGGCTTGCTCGGTGCCTGCGAGGTTGTCCCAACGGTTTGTTCCCGCGCCCTCGCAACTCGCGGGGTTGCCCCGACGGCCTGGCCCGCGGGATTGCCCCAACGGCTGCGCGACGTGCCGTTCGAGAACGCGCCCGCGCTGGCCGAGGCGGCGACGGCGCCGAAGAATATCGTCACGCGCGCTCTTGCAATAGAGAGTGGCAAAAGTGGCGGGGGGTGAAACAAAAACAAGAGGGCGAGGAGGGGGCAACGTAGGGAGCGGGAGGAGGGCCTGCACCAGGGCGAGAAGGAGAACGATGCAGAGGAGAGAGTGAGGACGACTCACCAATCAGGCAGACGACGATAAAGGGCATTGCGAGATTCCGGCGGCCCGCTCTCCAGGAATTCCCGCGGGTGTGGCCGCAAGATCAGCATGCTCCGCATGCGCGTGGCGCGGGAAAAACATGACGCAGAGATGCAGCATTCCTCCTCCTTTTCCTCCTCCTCCTCCTCCTCCTCCTCCTCCTCCTCTGATGGGTCGAGCGAGTGGCCCTCTAAGGAGCCCAGAAGACCTCGTTCGGATTCTCCTGCGTCTAAATGGATCCGACGGATTGCTCGGGTCCCAACGAACTCTTAGAGTTGGAGGAGGGAGGAGAAGGAGAGAGAGAGAGAGAGAAATAAAGAGAGAGAGAGAGAGAAAGGGGGGAATGGGAGGAGGAGGAAGAGGAGGAGGAGGAGGAGAGGAAGAGCAGGGGGGGGAGAAGAAAGAGAAGGAGGGGCAGGAGGAAGAGGTGTTGGACGATGTCCATCGTCGGAGCTCGGAAAGATCCAAGCTGTTGCGAGGGTTTCTTCCAAGGAGCTCCTATTATCTGGGGCCTTCCCTTCCTCTTTTCTTCTCTGCCCTTCTTCTCCCTCCCCTCCCCGCCCCCCCCCCCGTCCCCCCAGGGAGCTCCCCCGGTCGGGAAATCCCCGACCTGACTTCCTCCATATCCACGGCCGAGGGGCCCCGTCGGACTCCATAGGTTGCAAGTTTGCCGGCGGCCCGCTCGGATTCCATCATGGAAATGGGGCTCCCATAGAGAAGGGGCTCCCGCCTGAAGCTTTCTCGCAATTCACTCACAGACGAGGTTCACGCCTGAGACTTCCTCCACATTCAGGCCTGAGGAGCCCGAACACGAAGAGAGTTACAAGTTTCCGATGACCCGCTCGGATTAAAAACATCAGGTGCGGGGCCCATCGGATTCCGATAACCCACTCGGATAAAAAAAATGAGGTACGGGAGCCATAGGGAGAGGCTTCCCGCAATTCACTCACAGACGTGGCTGCCGACCGATACTTCCTTAAGTGTGTGAGTGAGTGAGTGAGTGAGTGAGTGAGTGAGTGAGTGACGAAGCGAATGACTAACTGGGCGAGGATGATGATGGTGATGATGCCGATGATGATTTGTGTGAGTGAGTGGGTGGGTAGGTAGATGAGTGAGTGGGCGAATGCGTGAGTGAGTGATGATGATGAGTATGTGAGTGAGTGAGTGCGCGGAGGGAGAAGAGGAGAGGGGGTGGGAGGTGACTGCGCGGAGGTGCGCAAGGCAAACAAAAGCCCCACTTAGGATGTGGGGAAACACGCAACGTTTCCAGCTTCTCGAGCTCTAGAAAACGATTGTTGTACAGTGTGCAAATACATCCTGGCGCCGACGACGTTGTGAAGCACAGCGTTTTCAGCATTCGTCATACAACATCGCTTCGGATGCTGAAAAAGATGTGTTCTTTCTGTTGTATACACCCCGATGCCGAAAACATGCCGAAAGCATGGTCGAACACAACGTACTCATCATCTGCGATGAGAAAAAACGTTGTGGGTTACAACGTGTTTGGCTTCGGAGTTTAAAGCAGCATTGTCAAACACAGCGCTTTGAAGCTCGGGATGCTGATCACGCTGTCGTTTCACTGTTTGTCGTAGCGCTCGACGCCAAAAGCAATGAACACACAATACTTGTTTACCGATGCCCTTGATTATGTTGTTTTCTGTTCGTCATTTCTTTTTGTTTGTTCAAGGCAGGCGCTCCTGGTCGGGTTGCTCTGACTCCACTGACTACGTGTGCTCGCAAGCTCTCAATACAAACGCCGTGGCTGTTCTGATGCCTTCCATTTCCATTTCAAATGTTGACTTGGCGTCGCCCACGAAACCGTAAAGGAACCCCATAATTGCACGACTGGATGAACCGCTTGTTCGTTATGTCTCTCCCTGGTCTCCTGCTAGCAGCCTTTCGCAAACAACAAAAAAGCCGCCTGCTGCTCTCCAGCAACATGCAAGGCCACCGCTGCGGATTCTCTTCTGTGGCAGATGCGAGAAAAAAAGAAGTTGTAATGATACTAATAACGCGGCTTGGAGGCGCGCAGAGTCTTCGAATGCCACAGTCTCTCGCGAGGGTGAGTGGCCGTCTCGGCCTTACATGAAAAGAGAGAAAGAAAGAGACAGAGAAAAGAGAGAGAGAGAGAGAGAGAGAGCCAAAGATAGAGACAGAGACGAGTCCGCATTGAGCCCGCGTCGGGCACGAGAGAAGACACCACTTTGGGGACAAACGAAGCCCCCCGAAGATTCACCGCAAAAAAGCGGCAAAGGGTAGCGAATCAGCTCCCGGGTGCGACGAGTAGAAACGGGTCTCGTGCGATATGGCATAGCGACCTTACGCCACGGCTTCAGCGGCCGCCAGCGTGGCACACCGCGTGGAGCAAAGGGCGCCTACGTGCTGCCGTACGCGGGAAGCTTACGCGCGAACGTCCGCGCAGTCGTAACCAGCCTCCAACTGATCCATATCCCCCTCAATCTTAGGGATGTGCCCCCAGGAGCTGCGGGATCCTTCAGATCGGCACCAGTGTAGGGTGATGCCAAAACACAGGGATCGGGATATGGCTCAAGCTGGTAGAAGTCGCCCCCCCTTTTCGCCCGTCGCTCACGCAGCTGGCTTTCCCCGGCTCCTCCCAGCGCCAGCTAACGGCGCCCACTGGTACCGAGGACAGCGCGCACTGGCGGGGCCGAGACCAGCCGCACGCGGCGTATTTCGTACGCTCCCCTTTTCTGTATTAGGGCGGGTGGTACTGGGGGGTGACCCAAAAGGTGGGTGAAGAGAAAAACCCAAAAGGGGCCCTTTAGGCCCCTCTTGGACACCCACTGGCTCCACAAGGAGCCCTAAGGGGCCCCTTTTGTACCTTTTTCTTGACCCCCCATTTGGGTCACCCCCATTACCACCAGCTCGACCCATCCGCAGATTTCGTCCGACCCGGTCCTCCCTTTTCTGCTTTGCTTCATGGTGTCTCGGCTTACCCACGAACGCGTCGCGAGCTCGACCGGGCGGCGCCAAAAAACGGGGCTACTGGAAGCGCCAGCTTCCGCATATTCTCCACTACAGCACGTCCGCCCCTTCCTCGTCGGATGCGCGGTCAAAATGCTGGAAGCAGAGTCTAGCTTTATGCTTCCAGGCCGTCGCGGCACAACCGATCAGGAGCGCTCGCGCCCCAAAAAGGAGGGAGGAGCAGGGAGGAGGAGGGAGGGAGGGGTGAAGTAAGAACGAAACAAAGGAACACAACACGGGGTCGGGTTTCAAACGAACAGAAACAAGTATTAAGCCCCGGGCCATCCGTGGGACCGCTTCCCAGAAGCTAGGATCGCACAACGCTCCTCAGACCACGAGCTCGGTCACTGCCTGGGCCGCCTCCGCGAAGCCGAGGCGCTTGTTGCCCCAGTCGAACTGCACGTAGTACTTGCGCATGAACACGTCACCCATGATCCACAGTGGGCCGCGCGGCGGGGGCACGTCAACGCTCATCAAGCCAAGGATACACGTCGAGCCCTGGGCCTGCAGGATGAGGTCCGCCTTCTTCAGGGCGAAATCCTTGCCGTCCAGGGTGAAGGACAGGTCCGGGATATCGGCGTTGCAGTCGACCGAGTACGCCTTGCCCATGACACTTTTCGCGCCGAGTTTGTCCGCGATCGCTTTGATGGCGTCGGTGGGGCCCGCGAGAAGGGAGGTACCCGAGTCGACGATGGCCTTGCCCTGTCCTGCGACGGAAGAGCTGCCCAACTTCACGCCGTTCAGGTCGACCTCCCAGTAGGTCTCGGAGCTCAAAGGAACGAAGGTAAAGTCCCCCGTGTAATGCCTCGGGTCCACGCCGCCGAAGACCAACTCTCCGGGCTGGTTGTTGCCGAGGTAGAATGCGAACACCGGCTCGGCCAGCTGGCCAGACTCGACCAATGCACGCATGGGAGTCGGCACGCCCCCGACGGAGATGGAGTCCCACCCGAGGCCCAATATGCCGTCAAATTTACCAAGGCGGTACGCCAGTCCCAGGCCCGAAGTGTCAGTGACCTCGGCGAATGTGTAGTCCTTGAGCTGCAGGTTTCCGATGCTGACGGTGTCGGAAGAATAGTAGCCGCTGACAGGGCCAGACCCGTACTGGATCTTGAAGACGGTGCCGTTCTTCTTGTAAGTGCTGGACTTGTCATGGCTATAGACCTTGTGGCTTGAGAACCACGGCTTGGTCTGGGGCACCCAAAGATTCGAGGAGCCTGTGTCGAAGATGACCGACTCGGTCTGGCCCGGGGTGCCCACGGTGATGTCGCCATAGTACTCGGCATTCTGGTAGTCCTGGATCACGACGTCGCTGGTGGTCCCTTGAACAGCTCCATACTTCGCCTCCATGCGCGATGCGCTCAGGTGGATGGACTCGATCCTCTCCTGGAAGTCGAACTCGCGGCGCTGCAGCGGAAACCTGGCGAGCTCCGCACCCGCAGCGGGCACAGAGGCCGCGGCTGCAAGGGCCAGCGCGCGCGTAGGCATCCTAGGGAAGAGGCCGAAGGCTGCCCTACGAACCTGCGAGGCGTGCCGAAGGCGCCGATCAAAGCCGAGCTCGGGCCAATATCGCTTGAGCCCAAACGGCTACGGCTAGGTCGGGCCATGCGGATTTTAGACGAAAAATAAACAATAGCCAAAACATACCCCAAAACATGTCAAAAATAATTAAACCAAATCGTGATCCGACTCTATTTGTCTGTGTTTGAAGATTCTTTCCGTAGAGGGACATGCCCGACCTAAGGCTGCGGACTTCGCCCGACCCGGTCCTGGGAGAGCCTGGGGAAGGCCACCGGCAAGCGCCGGCGGCCAGTAGCTTAATAACGAGAAAGAAATTGAGTGCGGGCTGCCGAGAGAGAGGGGGGCGGCAAGCGTGAGGTCGGGCATGCCCCCCTCCAAGCGGGTTTGGGACGAAAGATTCCGGCGGATTTCCGGCAAATTGGGGCGATTTCCGGAATCACCGGGTAGCGGCGAAGGAGAATCGCCGGAAAAAACTCTCATTCCTCTTGCCATCCGACCTGACTAAAGTTAGGAGGATCCTCTTAATTAAAAAGAGGTTTCCTAATGTTTCAAAAGGTTTTCCAAAGTTGCGAAATCCTCTCAATAGTTTGTAGGTTTTTGTTGGTTTCATTAATCCTCCAACTTTTGTTAAGAGGATCCTCGAAATCAGTTATTACTGGGGTGTGTACATCAAGCACATGTATGTTTATCGAAAACGCCGGCGGCGATTCACCGCCGCCCCCTACCTATTTTGGAAGCGCCTACGTGGCCGAACTTTGGGCCAAAACTTGCTTGCACTATCGGACTACGCGTTAAAGGAATCGTGGTAAGTCTTCGGGAAACACGCGGAGGAGGAGGGGGGGGCGAGAAGGAGGAAGAGGAGGAGGGGGAGGAGGAAGGCGAGGAGGAAGTGGAGGAGGGGGAGGAGGAGGAGGAAGAGGAGGAGGAGGAGGAGGAGGAGGAAGAGGAGGAGGAGGAGGAGGAGGAGGTGGCCTCTTGGGAGCCTCGGCCTCTTGAAGGCCTCTGTCGGGCCCCCGCGGGCCTCCTGGGGGCGTTTCGGGGCCCTGGGCGTCCAGCGCGCACACGCGAAGCGTATGTTTATATGTATTGGCCTTCGGCCCATTCCGCCACCGCGCTTGAGTTAAGGACACACGTAGTGCATGGGATCTCTTGAGGGGCTTTCTCTTGGAGGCAGCTTTGAAAACCTGTTTGGGGACTCGCGCGAAGCGTTGCTTGATATGGTGTGTTGGCCGTGTGCCACGCGAAGCGTTGATGATGGTGCTGGTGTTTTTTGCTTTCGCGCACTGGCCGCCATAGCCTGTATGTTTCAACTGCGGATCGATGGATGAACTTACAATGTTGCATGGAGTCTTCAATGGTATCAATGCAGACGCCAATTGCGTCTTCATCCAAATACACCCAGCTCGTGTTAGGGGAAATGTGATGAGGAACAAAATATTCTGCGAGGTGCACCAATAGATGTTTAGGATACATGCGGTAAGCCTCCCAAAGGCGCTTGTGCCTTCCAAGGTGCAAGGGGAGCTGCCCATACAACACGACATGCTGCCTGGCAGAGGTTCCCCGTTTGATTCGAACCAATTCCGACGGAACCTTGATCCCTTGGTAAAAACCATTCAACGCCTCCAAGCAATGATAACGAAACATTTTGTACACACTCTGGGGCTTGGGAATATGCGCCCAAAGAAACCTGATAATACGTATCAACAGCCTAGATTTTGCAGCTTTCAACCTGAGCTTGGGCATCTACTCTCATCAGGCTTCAGCATAGCGGCGTGACCCAGCTGATGGCACGCACGCTTTACCATAATCGTGAACTCCGCCAGGGCAAGATTCGGATGTGCAATTTCCCCGTCCATGCCAAGAAACAGCTCCAACATAATGTTGGCGCACACGCGTTGGACAAGGCCCAAGTCACCCGCGTGCATCGAGTCCCACCAGCCCTTTGGGCGTGAGTGGTTTAGGGAGCTCTCTCTGTTCTCAACCCCCCTTCTTCCCCTTCGGGGAGGGGTTTACCCCTCCCCCTACCCCCTCCCCCTGGGCCTGGAGAGGTCCTTTCGCGGGTGGGCAGAGGGTTTTTTTTTCGATTCCTGGGAGGGCTAAAATTCGACACCCCTCACGAGGATTCTGGCCCCGACGGGGGGAGGGAGAAAAGTGTTTCCCCTATCTGTGATCGATCGCCCGACAGATGGCCCCAAGATTCCTCCCAGACCCCTCCCAAAGAGCCCCAAGAGGCCCCAAGAGGCCAACAAAAAGGCCCCCAAGATGCCCCCAAGAGGCCCCCAAGAGGCTCCCCCGAGGCACCCAAGACGCTCCTGGAAGCCCCTGGAGCCGCCAAGAGGCCCCCAATACGCCCCAAACCGCCTCCAAGAGGCTCCCAAGAGGCCCGAAGAGGCTCCCCCAAGGCACCCAAAACGCTCCTAGAAGCCCCTGGGGCCGCCAAGAGGCCCCGAAGACGCCCCAAAAGGCCTCCCAGGGGCTCCCAAAACGACTCACACCACGACGAGGGCCCCGAACGACTCACACCACGAGGAGCCCGAACGAGTCACACCAGGAGGAGGGGCCCGAACGACTCACACGACGACGAGGGGCCCGAACAACTCACACCACGAGAAGCCCGAACGACTCACACCAGGACGAAGAGCCCGAACGACTCACATCACAAAGAGCCCGAACGATTCACACCAGGAAGAAAGGCCCGAACGACTCACACCAGGACAAGAAACCCCAAACGACTCAAAGCACGAGGAGCGCTTTCTCTCCCTCCTCCTCCGCCTCGTCCTTCTCCCGCTCCCACCACAAGGAGGATGTACAAGGAGGCGGGAGGAAGGAGGAACAAGGGAGATATGCGGGGGCAGGCGGAAACACGCATGAAAAACACGACTGTCGGCATGCTTCGCAAGAGTGGCTGTTTTGAGATGGGCTGGTGGGGATACGCGACGCGTAAAGAATTCAAAACAATATTGCACAGTTGAATTCCTGGGATGCCCCAGAACGCAGATATATGCCTACCATTCTGAATCGAATATTCATCGACCTGCATATGTGACAACACAGTTGAGCGCCACTTGGCCACCTTGCTTGCGTCTGTGCAAGGGCAAAGGGGGTCGTGATTGTTTCTCAGCACATCATCTGAAACGCATCATGTTTATTTCGCCCTCGCCTTGCCAACCGTGCAAGCGAATCATGTTCTTGAGCCAATCCCAATCGAATCTTCCTTGAAGGACGCACCCTTGCCTCAGAAATGCTCTCTCCTGAAGGGGCTTAGCTGCCAGCGCTGCTCGAGCGCGGTCGCCCCTGCAACGGGGGCGCTTGAACTCAGCGCCGTCGCGCCTGAATCTCAGGCGTTGCCCTGCCATCCAGGCTTGGAAAGACCGCGGTGCCACTCGCCACGCGCTGTCGAACGCGAGCGTCCCTTTGCACCCGCAACCGCAGAACAAACTACGAGGTAGGACGCATGTCCAATACCTGCGGCCTCTGTGGAGCGGCGCCAAACAATTCCACAACACCGGCATCGCACCATCGCGCGCCAGCTGGGACGAAGTCGCATGCAGATCCAGTTTGGCCTGCGTGCTCGAGCCAATCTTCTCTAGAATGGCGCAGGGGAGCCACCCAGATCAGGCCAGTCCGCTGGGCCCCTGCATTCAGCGAGAAAGACTTCATGTGGGACGAGGAAGTAAACGGACTCAGTGCATGTCCCGCGGGTGTCTGCATTCCACGCGCTGGTCTCCGCCTCGTAAACCTCCGGGAAAGGTCGGTGCCTTTCGCAATTCCCTGATCGCTCGTCTGTGAGAGTTGTTCGACTGAGAAGGTTCTTGAGGCCCACCAACAACTGCCCTGAGAGTTTATAATCACAGGCCGACATTTGACCACGCTGGAACCTTTTGTTGGCGAAGTTCTCAACGCGATGCGCAACGAGTTGAGCGTCGGGGTTCAGCCCATCGCAATTGCGCTTCGGCGCAGCCTTACTTGCGCCCGAAGACGGGCGAACCCCGCCGCCAAGGCGAGCTATCAACGCTGTTATGGAAACGGAAACATTGAGTAAGACGCACATGCTCAATCCAGATTCGAACCAAAACTGGCAACGGACAGATCCGAAGGTGATGCCGGCAACTCCCCAGTCGTGATGCTTGCTTGCATTTGGTTATCTAATTAATGGCCCGCCTGCGCTGTTGCTCAGAAGCTCCCGGGTGGCTCGGGGCCTTGCGGGGGGCTTTTCGGGAGGGCCTGCTGGTGGCAGCTTTGGCGCCTTTTTGTTGTTTTTGGCGGCCGATCGGAGCCTCTTCAGGCTTGTCGGAGGGGGGGGGCTTGACCGAAGAGGGCATCTGCAATTCCCCAGCCGTGACTCATGCGCCCTGTTATCTTCGGGCCCATTCGCGCATGACATCCCCCGAGCTGGCTGGGTGAGTCTTCGGGGACGGGGTGGAGAGCAGCGGGGGGGGGGGGGCAGCACGGCAGAAGTAGCGACGCTGATTCCAGGAGAGGAGGTGGACAGCAGGAGGGGGGGCAGGAGGACGTAGTTTTTTCCACGCTAGCTTTGCTCCATCTGCTGCAAGACGGCGCCATCGTGGCGAGAAGGCGCAGCGAAAGCGCATTACCGTTGTAATGCAATGAGATAGTGCGGAGCGTTGCTGCGCAACCCTGTAGTGACCCACTGGAGCTACACAGTTGTCGACCTCGAACGCTGCCGTACACGAAGAGGAACCGCAATTAAGCCTTGGGCTTGATCTTCGTGAAATATGCGATGACGTTCTTTCGGAATTCCTGGTAATCCTTGTCGCCCCCGGTCATTTTTTCAGCGAGGGTAGTGGACATAGTCGCGTAGTCCGTCACGTCTTTGACATCTAAACCCTTGCAGGTGGCCCATCTCGAACAAGGAGGCCGCTGATTGTGTTCGATCGTTCGTCTTGCCCTTCAAATACTGCAATGCGCATCTTTTCGCTGATCGGATTCTCGATGGCACTGACCTCGCCGAGCTCGCGGTTGGCTTTGTCGTAGAACGCCTTCGCGTCCTTGAGTTTCTTCCTGGGCGCCTCGGGGGCGTCGGCCAAGACCTTCGCGGCCTGCCCCTTGGCGAGTGCCTCTGGGTCGTCCGTCTGCGCCGGCGCGCGGGGGCCCTCAGGTTCCATCTTGGCAGCCGTCTTGGCTTTCTTATTTGCCTGCGGCACTTTGGGGGCAACCTCGGAGGTGAAGTTCTGCGTCGCGGCTGCCGCGCCCCCTGCCCCCTCCCCAGTCAAGTCAACAGTAGTGTCGACCTGGGCTTCGTCAGTGAGGCACTTCTCCCACTCGTCGCGCACGTCGAAGGAAGCGGCGCTCTATCGACCCCTGGTCGGCGCGCAACTTCGATTTATGCGGCCTCTCCAAGAACTCGCCCCCCATGCACCAGATGTCGGCGAACTCCATGCTGTTGATGCCCGCGGGGCCACCGTGCTCGCTGATCGTCACCCATCGGCCCTTCCCTGAACCCTTCCGCTTGTTATTCCGCGACGCGCCGTTGGCAGCGGCGCGCGCCCCGCCGCTGGCCGGGTCGATGGGGGGCGCGGCCAGCCAGCTGCGGCGATCCAAGTCCTCAGATAGTTTTGAATGCTCTTTGAACTGTTCTGCGTGGGTTGTGTTCTGCGCCGCGTTCAGAGCGCTGAGCGCCCTCTGCCGAAGCTTCCCCATCGACCCCTCCGGTTTACGCCTCATTGAGCTCAAGGCCACCTGCTGCGGTAGCGAGCTTGAGCTCCTCGCGCGCCGAAGGAAGTTGATTTAGCGTCCTCTTGGGTGGCATTCTGACTGGAAGCGCGGCGCTGGCCTCGCCGGATCTCGGGCCAAAACGGATACTGGTGACATTTGCGGCGATAGCCTCAGCCGTTGTTTACCGCATCGGGCAGTGAAGACCGAGGAGGCCTCTAGGGGCCAACTGCAGGATGAGCGCTCGCAGAAGGCCCCCTAGATGGCCCTTCCCTAGATGGCCCGGGGTAGGATCACGAGGATGACGACGCGCGAACGAGAGAGATCTGCAAAAGGAAGGCAACGTGAACGAGAAGGAGGGGGGGCGTGCATGGAGGAGGAGGAGGAGGGGATGTGTGTTCGCTATGTTTTCAAGCTGATCAACGCTCGAATTCCCGACGCTTCGCGCATCCTCGACAGCCCATCCAGAAACGATCAGCCAGGGAATGGGCGAATCAGGGGCGGCAGGGCCCGCGTTGAAAGGGGAACTACGATGGTGCTTCGATGAGTGGTGAGGGGTGTTTCGATGACTTGCGATGGCTGTCGGGGCTCTCTTGGGATTATGTTGGGCCCCTCTTGGGGCCTCATGGGGCTCTTTCTTGGGGCTCTCCTGAGGTCCTCTTAGGGCCTTCCTGGGGCCTTCTTGGGACTCTTTGGGGGCCCTCCTGGGGCTCTTTGGGGGGGTCCGGGAGGCCTCTAGGCCGCGTGGGTCAAAAAGAAGGCTGCCCTCATTCCCATCGCCCCCTCGCAGACACAAAAAAGCCGTCTTGGGCCCCTGTTGGGCCGCTCTTGGATCGCATTGGGCGCTCTTGGGGCCCTCCTGGGGCCCTCATGGGCGTCTCTGGGAGCTCTCTTGGGCCGCGATGGGTCCATCTTGACGCCTGAAGAGCCCATCGGAAGCGAAGAGGCGCGAAAGCCAAAAACATGGGTTTCCCCTTGGTTTCGGGACCACGTTGGCCTCTTGGGGCGGTCCTTGGAGGACTCGGAGTGCACTGCGTCTTGGAGCCTCTTGGATGCTCTTGGATGCCATCTTGGGCTCTCTTGGAGGCCACCATGGGCTCTCTGGAGCTCCCTCGGGGCCATCTGGGGCCCAAAAGGGCCCTCTGGCACGCGGCCCTCGCCGTCCAGGGGCTGAAGCGCGCTGGGCCACCTCCGCCCAGAGGGCCGACGAAATTTCCGAGGGGGGGGGCGCTGCTCCATGGAGGGCCCCCGAGGGCCCATGGGGGCACCTGAGGGCCGCGGCCAGGCCGCTATGACTGGCACATGTCTGCCCCCCCCCCTGCCAGAGATAGTTTTTGGAGACGCTCTCACATTTTATGTCCGGCGGCCCCCAGGTGCCGGATATCTGCCCGATATAGGCCGGCAGGCAGGCCCGTCAGAGCACGCCTGGAGGCCCGTCGGCGCAGGCGGGCAGACCCGTCAGCGAAGGCAGGCTGGTCAGTCAGTCAGATTATGCGATCCTCTGAAGGGCCGCGAGGTCGTCGTACGTGTCCGCCGCAATGGCCTCCAGGATCCTGAGCTCGTCGCCGATGTCAACATCGACCTGGTCCTCGGCCGATTGTAGCTGATCGTCCTCTGACTGGCCCTGGGCCGGTGCGATGGCGCCCACGTCGTCGTAATCATCGCCCACGACGGCAACCGCGGATCCAAGCATTATATTCTGGAAGATCACGCACGCAATGATGTCTGGAGTGTCACCAGTGTAGAACTTCGAGCAGCAGGCGGAATGCCGCTCTGGGTGCATCGGCTGAATGTCGATGAACCAACTCTGGATGCGATTGTGTCCTACGCAAAACTCGAAACGATTTGCACGTGGAGATCGTCTGGGCACGCTGCCTTGTGGCACCTGTTGGATGCCAGGCTTGCAGATGCTGATGCCTATGGTGTCCCCGTGTCCCACGAGCGCGCATGTTGCGCTGCAACTGGGGGTTGGGCTCAAAGTGACCATTCAATCCTGCCCCCCTCCCAATCCCATCTTGACTTCACAGGGAGTTTTTGTTGGGGGATAAGGAAAGGTGCCGGGGCTGAGTAGCTGCACTTTGGACCCCCGCCTGTAGCGCAGCCAGCGCAGAGTAATCGCACTCGTCGCTCGCAAAGGCGCCCAGCACATTCGCCTGTCCAAACTGTCCGCGAAAACTCCAGGCCCATTTGACAACATCCGATGGCAACAGATGGGCACCATGCCGGAATATGCATCGCGAGTGCAAGATGGTGGCACAATAGGATGATCGCCATGTACAGCATTCGCCTGGACGGAGACCCCGATATCATTGAGCCTCTGTTCTGTGCCCACACGGTCAAGATATGGCAGACCTGCAAATCGGACATGCGGGGTCGCCTCCAGCGGCGAGAAGCCGAGCCGCGCATTCGCCGTGGAGAATGCGAGCGCACGTAGACGCAATGCAGCGGTCACGAGCGAAAGGTCCCAAGCATATCGGACACTCCATGAGGCCAAATGGCTACGTGTACGCGAGCGTTTCGAAACGGTTTGAGCGCGGCGGAGGTTTCGGCAAAATGCATCAAGGGGGAGGTGGGGCGAGGGCTACCAACGAGCGCAGCGGGCCTCAGGAGCGCCGCGACGGGGGTGGAACCAGTGGGCCGGTTTGACACCGCAGGGCCCCGAGGGGGATGAGGTGTCAGCAAGAAGTGCCAGTGGAGGGGGGCGGGGGGATGAGCGCTAGAACCAGGCGCAGCGGGCCCCGGGAGCGCCCCGGAGGGGTGGGGCCAGGGGGGGGGCGGCGCGGCAACGAGACCACGCGCGCGCGAGAACCCAATCTTCTTTCACAACCGCAGGGCCCCGAGGTTGATATGGTCTCGGCAGGAGGTGCCAGACTGAAGCGTCAAAGGGATGGGGGGGGGGGGGCGCGGCGGGCGCTGGCAGCAGGCGCAGCGGGCCCCGGGGGCGCCCCGAGGGGATTGGGCGAGAGGGGGGCGGCACTGCGACGAAACAACGCATGTGCTAGCAATCCCCCTCTACCACTGCAGGGCCTCATGGAGGGCGAGGCGTCGGCAAGAGGACGCATGGGGGGGAGGGGGGGGCGGCGCCGGCAGCAGGCGCAGCGGGCCCGCGGGGGGATTGAGCCAAAGGAAGACGACACGGCGACGAAACCACGCACGCGCGCAATCCTCCTCTGGCACCGCGCCCCGAGGAGGACGGGGCGTCGGCAGGGGGCGTCAGAGGAGCGATGCGGGAGGGGCGCGAGCAGCAGGCGCAGCGGGCCCCGGGGGCGCCCCAGGGGGCGGGGCCAGATGAGGGCGGCGCGGCATCGAAACAACGCGCGCTAGGGCGCAACTTTCTTCTACCACCGCAGGGCCCCGAGGAGGGCGAGGTCGCGGCAGGAGGTGTCAGAGGGGGGGGGGGGGGGGGGGGGGGGGGGCGCTAGCAGCAGGCGCGGCGGGCCCCAGGAGCGCGCCAGGGGGATGGAGCCAGAGAGGGACGGCACGGCAACCGCGCCCGCGCCACGAGCAATCCTCTCGCGCGTCCGTGACCCGACGGGGACGAGGCGCCAGCAAGAGGTGCCGGAGAGAGGGGGGGGGGAGAGGGGCGCCAGCAGCAGGTGCGGCGGGCCCCAGAAGCGCCGCGAGGGGGTGGAGTCAGCAGAAGAACCAGACGTCACAGTCACACCAGCCCCCTGGGTAGACGCGCGCCCCCCCCCCACCCCCCGCCCCCCAGCCTCTGGGCGGCGGGGGCCGCGATCTGTCACAGGGTCCTCTTTGGGCTCCAAGTGGCCCCGAGAGAGCCTGAGAGAACCAAAAATGGCCTCCTAGATGGCCCAACATACATCAAGTTGGCTCAAGATAGCCTCCGGCACGCATCCAGGAGGCTCCGAGACTGTTGGGCCGTTTTGCATCTTAAACTCGCATATTGGGGCTCTCTTGGGGTTCTCTTGGGCCCCTCTTGGGGCCTCCTGGGGCTCTTCCTTGGGGCTCTCTTGAAGTCATCCCAAGGCCTTCGTGGGGCTCTTTTGGGGCGTCTTGAGGCCTTCTTGGGGCTCTTTGGGGTGGTCTGGGGGGCCTCTAGGAGCCGTCTTTGGCCGCGTAGATCCAAAAGATGGCCGGTCGCAATTCCCATCGCCCCCTCGGGGGCGCAGAATGCCATCTTGGGCCCCTCTTGGGCAGCTCTTGGATCGCTGTAGGGCGCTCTTGGGGCCCTCTGGGCGTCTCTGGGAGCTCTCTTGGGCCATAGTGCGTCCATCTTGGCGCCTGAAGACGAACGGGCGCCAAGGCCAACAACATTGGTTGCCCCTAGGTTTGGGGGCCACGTTGCCCCTCATCGAAGCGCCATCGCATTTCCATCCGAACCTTCAACGCGGGCCCTGCCACCCATGATTCACCAACTCTCCCGCTGATCGTTTCTGGGTGGGCTGGTGGGGATGCGCAAAGCGTCGAGAATTACCCGGGGGCCATGTGCCACTTGATGTGAACTTGCAAACCCCAGGGGGTAGCCGATGAGGCAGACTGTAACAAGGGCGGTGATGATAACGGTGACGGCGGTTATGCTGAGACGGGTGATGGTCATGGCCGTTATGATGTTGATGATGATGTAGGTGCTGGTGCGGATGATGGCGAGGGCTGTGACCACGGTGATGCTGATCACGTTGGCACCCACTTGCGGCAGCGCTGTGACAAGCATTATATATATGTCTTTTTCCCAACCATCCTGTGGTGTTGGGTCCTCGTTTTGAAGAGACAGCGCCCCGCGTTCACTCCTCCTCCTCCCGCTGCCCCCTCCCTCCTGCCATCATCATCATCATCATCATCATCATCGTCATCATCATCATCATCATCGTCATCATCATCATTACCATCATCATTATCATCATCATTCCTCTCTTCTCCTCTCCTCTCCTCTTCTCCTCTCCTCTCCACCCACCCAGTACACTGTTTCGCGGCTCCATAGGGGGCTCCACCGAGGGCCCCAGCGCCCGCGCCCGCATGCGTCACCCACGCCCAATTCGGCATACCCCTCACACGCTTCGTGGCTTCATAGGGAGCTCCACCGAAGGCCCCAGTGCCCGCGCCCGCATGCGTCACCCACACTCATTTCGGCACACCCCTCACACGCTTCGTGGCTCCATAGGGAGTTCCACCGAAGGCCCCAGTACCCGCGCCCACATGCGTCACCCACGCCCATTTCGGTACACCCCTCACACGTTTCGTGGCTCCATAGGGAGGAGCTCCACCGAAGGCCCCAGTGCCCGCGCCCGCATGCGTCACCCACACCCATTTCGGCACACCCCTCACACGCTTCGTGGCTCCATAGGCTCCACCGAAGGCCCCAGTGCCCGCGCCCGCATGCGTCACCCACACCCATTTCGGCACACCCCTCACACGTTTCGTGGCTCCATAGGGAGCTCCACCGAAGGCCCCAGTGCCCGCGCCCGCATGCGTCACCCACACCCATTTCGGCACACCCCTCACACGTTCGTGGCTCCATAGGGAGCTCCACCGAAGGCCCCAGTGCCCGCGCCCGCATGCGTCACCCACACCCATTTCGGCACACCCCTCACACGTTTCGTGGCTCCATAGGGAGCTCCCGAAGGCCCCAGTATGCGGAGGCACAGTTTCGTGGCTCCATAGGGAGCTCCACCGAAGGCCCCAGTGCCCGCGCCCGCATGCGTCACCCACACCCATTTCGGCACACCCCTCACACGTTTCGTGGCTCCATAGGGAGCTCCACCGAAGGCCCCAGTGCCCGCGCCCGCATGCGTCACCCACACCCATTTCGGCACACCCCTCACACGTTTCGTGGCTCCATAGGGAGCTCCACCGAAGGCCCCAGTGCCCGCGCCCGCATGCGTCACCCACACCCATTTCGGCACACCCCTCACACGTTTCGTGGCTCCATAGGGAGCTCCACCGAAGGCCCCAGTGCCCGCGCCCGCATGCGTCACCCACACCCATTTCGGCACACCCCTCGCACGTTTCGTGGCCCCATAGGGAGCTCCACCGAAGGCCCCAGCGGCCGCGCTCACATGCGCATGCGCCCCGCACACCCAGTTCGGCACATCCCTGACAGGTTTCGTGGCCCCATCATCCACCGGAGGCCCCAGTGGCGGCGCTCACATGCGTCGCCCACACCCACCCAATTCGGCACACCCCTCACACGTTTCGTGGCCCCATAGGGAGCTCCACCGAAGGCCCCAGCGGCCGCGCTCACATGCGCCCCCGCCACCCATCCCGGCACGCCCCTCACAACAACAGGTTTCGTGGCCCCATGGGGAGCTCCACCGAAGGCCCCAGTGCTGCTGCCCGCATGCGTCACCACCCGCACCCAATTCGGCACACCCCTCACACGTTTCGTGGCCCCATAGAGAGCTGCGCCGAAGGCCCCAGTGGCGGCGCTCACATGCGCCCCCGCCACACATCCCAGTACACCCCTCACGCGCTTCGTGGCCCCATAGGGAGCTCCACCGAAGGGCCCAGTAGCGGCGCTTACATGCGTCTCCGCCACCCATCCCGCCCCCCCCCCCCCCACACCGCAGCAGCAGCATGGTTCGGGGACCCATAGGGAGCTCCACTGGAGGCCCCAGTGGCGGCCCGCACATGCGTTTCCGCCACCCATGTCGGCACGCCCCGCGCGTGTTTCATGTCCCCATAGGGAGCTTCGCCGAATGCCCCAGTGGCGCCCATCTCGGCACACCCCTCACACGTTCCGTAATCCTATGGGGAGTTCCATTGAAGATGAAACCCGCAGCTGCGGTACTGACAACTGCATATGGTTGGGTTCTTCGCCAGGCTATTTTTTTCAGCTGCTCTGGAAAAGAGGGATCCCAACTGCTCGCCCCAATAAGTTGCGGCGCCCTCGGCATCGAGAGATGATGGCCACTTCAAAATGACACCATTCTGTTTGAAAATATTCAGCTCTGGTTCATCACGTGGAAGCTTTCGAACGCTCGTGACGTGCATGCCTCGCATGCTT